ATCCTTGCAGGTTGCAAATGAGAGAACTCACAGTAACATTCTGTGATAGCATATTTAGCTCAGTATGGTGTATGTTCTTATTCAGTTGACTCTTCAGGCAGTATTGAATGACATTTATATATTTCCTCCCTGAAAATTAAAGCAATTGCAGAATGCTAATAGATACATCTGCACTGTAGATTTTAAAAATAGTTTCTAAATACATGTGAAAAAATGGGACTCCTGAGCTTTGAGATAATTAAAAGAATCTGCCAAAAAAGGGGATTGCAAATATTCCCAGACTATAAGTGTTGGTCGGAGGTGAAAGAAATCTGGGGTGAGCTATCCTGATATATTGTGATACTTAATTCTGTGAACTCTGCTTTCCAGGACTCTGAGCAGCACATATTAAAGTACCTCATTTCATCATCCTAAGAATCTAAGGAGATAATGAGCTTCATGCCTAAAGAGCAGTTTGAAGCTAGTTTTTCTATCTCATGGACCTTTACTAAAATATGTTGCTCTTCATTATCAGCTGATAGATTACAACCATTTGTTTTAAATGATTCTTTATTTCCTTTGCATATTTTTGTAATTTTAAAATATTCAGTTGTTGGGGCAAAAAATATTTGGTAAGTCATGTCACATTATGTAATACTTCTGCTCTTCTCTAGGATGGCTGGCTGTGGTGAAATTGATCATTCAATCAATATGCTTCCCACCAACAAGAAGACAAATGAATCATGTTCCGGTGCAGCGCCATCCCTTATGGTCCCTGAATGTGCTATCTGTCTGCAAACATGTGTCCACCCTGTGAGTCTGCCTTGTAAACATGTCTTCTGCTATCTGTGTGTAAAAGGAGCTTCTTGGCTGGGAAAGCGCTGTGCACTCTGTCGGCAGGAGATCCCGGAGGACTTTCTTGATAAGCCAACTTTACTGTCACCCGAGGAACTGAAAGCAGCCAGTAGAGGAAATGGGGAATATGCTTGGTACTATGAAGGCCGAAATGGCTGGTGGCAATATGATGAACGTACCAGTAGGGAACTCGAAGATGCCTTTTCTAAAGGTAAAAAGAGCACTGAAATGTTAATTGCTGGGTTCTTGTATGTGGCAGATCTTGAAAACATGGTTCAGTATAGGAGAAATGAGCATGGACGCCGCAGGAAAATAAAACGGGACATAATAGATATTCCAAAGAAGGGAGTGGCTGGGCTTAGGTTGGACTGTGACTCTAATGCTATCAATCTAGCAAGAGAGAGCTCTGCTGATGGTGCAGACAGTATACCAGTTCTAGGAGCTGCTGCTGCTGCTGGGCAGCCTCTAGCAACGGTTGCTGTTAGACCCCTACCTTCACTAGATGGTCAGCTGACAAGTCCTGCAACGCCATCACCTGATGCAAGCACTCTAGAGAACTCTTTTGCCAACTTGCAAATAAATGGAGACAGTATGGTTGAAATGAGTCATAGGGGTGAGGGAGAGGAAGACCATGAATCATCGTCTTCTGGTAGGGTGCCAGTTCTTGACACCTCCGTTGAGGAGACAGAATCGGATGCTAGCAGCGATAGTGAGGATGTGTCTGCCCAACTTCAGCTGCCTGTATCCGCTGCTCAGCAGAGACACCTGAATGCAAACCAGCCAGCCTTGGATAGACCAGTGGCAGGGAGTGGGGCGGGAAGCACCAGCGTAAGATCTAGGAGGCCTGATGGACAGTGCACAATAACTGAAGTTTAAATTTAGAGCCATGTTTTTAAAACTCAGTCTTGTACATGTACATCCTGTCTGCATTGGCGTTGCACTCCAGCCTCGCAGTGTATTTAAAGTGTTTCAATGTGGGAGAAGGGGAAAGAGAAAAGCAAACGTGATCATCCAACTTTAACCTTATGAGTAGTCTCTTAACATGTCTTGGCTGGAAGACTCAATGTTAAAAACATCTGGGTACATGTTAATGGTTTGATGACTACTTAGCTATACCCAGTTTTGTAAATGTCTCATATTTTATTTTGTAGGATATGCCCTTTCCCCAGTAAAACTCCTGTTCCTCTTTTGACCAATGTATATCCATTGTACAACTTGAAACTGTCATTATTTGTTGCATTAAGTATATTTACTATCTGCATGGATTGATGTATGGAAGGAGTATTAAAACTGGAAATGAACAAGAGTTCGGATTTGAACAGGATGCTTAATTTTAACATAAAGTAGGTGTGACTTCTGAAGCTCAGATGTTTTACTAAAACCAATCATCTTGCTCACTGAAATGTAAAATAACTTCTGTTGCAGAGTTTTACATGTAAGCACTTCATGGTGTCTTCATTGGCTCTGTGTTTAGTCCCTGTAGCTTGTTTGCGTCCTTCTCGTACTGTCTTGGTTTTGTTACAAAATTTATAATTTAATAAACTACATTTTATCAACCATCTGAGCTGTTTCCACATGGGATGGTACCCATGTCACATTGCAGGCAGTTCTGAAAGAAGGGAGGTAAAGCACTGCCTTTGGCGAGCTATCTATGACTTAAGTGCAGGGTTTTTTTTTTTGTTTTTTTTTAAACGGAAATTTCCAGAATATTGTGTATGAGGAAAATAAAGACTTTGCCACTATAGGTCCTGTAGAAACAAGAAAATATTAGGCATAATAATAGTTAAAATTCTCCCCTTTCTCTGAATGTGCCTATTTTTTTATTTTTACACACACACATACTTACATATGTACCAGCCTATAGAGTTGATAGAAAATTGGTTATGTAGTGAAAATACCAAAATAGTAACCCATGGCTTGGCGTTCTGCCAGAGCTCCATCTGTCAGAATGTACTTTTCCCAACCATATTTAAGTAACGTATGTCAAGAAAAAATTTAATATGAATTTTACAGCAGTACAGTGTGAGAGTGAGGTCTAATTGATGCCACTGCATAGATGTTGCAGTAATATAGCTAGAATTCAGGGGCCCATGCTGTGGTACTAGAAAGGTAATTGAGAGGATACTACTAACTGTGCTGTTTACTGCTGGAGGCGTCCAAGGGATAGCAATATAATTTTGTTCACCAGTACATTCTGCAAAAAGGACATTGCATTGAAAACCCTTTTATAAAGGCTGCTTTTTGCTTCAAGGCTGTTAAAACAAGGAAAAATGATACTTTTGTCAATTACCTGTATTTTTCAGTGAGAGTATTTTAATAGATGTCTTTTGAATGTAGTAATTGTAGCATTTGCTATCTGAAAATGAAATTATAATAGCCCTTGAACTATCAAGAGTCTTTTATTTCAGACCCTGCTTTGTGCTATCATAATTGGCTATCCATATTGAGCACATTGCCAAAACTCAATATGAGCCCCCATGCGTTGTAAAACTTCTGCAAGATTTAGGATGAACCATGTGGAGGTGCTATGTTGTACATAAAGTGGAAATAATGTAGCCATATGATATATTCAACTACAGTTATTATGTATAGTAACTCTCAAAAACCATGGTCTTATGATCAACAAATCATGGTTAGCTAGCTGGTTGTTGGATGTGCCTGTGCAAGATCTGAAAGGGAAAAGAGGAGGTACGGCAATAGGAAAATTTCCATATTGAAATCAAATCTGACCTTTTTTATTTTTATTTGGTGGGCGTTGGAAGTGGGGTCATCTTATATGGCAATTATATCCCAAACTATATTTTAAATGGGAAAGTTGGGAGTCATCTTATACGCCCAGTGGTCTTATACACCGGAAAATATGGTATATACAACATCAACATTTCTACTTGTTCATAATTATCATAAAGAGCTTGGAGCCAGGAAACATCACCAACAAAATGTGTCTCGAATAGTAACTTCTTTTACTTGAATTAGATCTTAATGGAGATATACATTTCACAAGATCTAGCCATACTCTGTGACACAAATGAAAATAATACCGCCATGTCCAAATCTTCAGGTAAGAGACAATCTGAGATACAAAATACATCTGCATATTTACCTGCAAGTAGGATTTCATTGGGATTTGCCTACTCCATCTTGTCCAAATGGAAGTGTGTTGGAAGTGAAGTATAGTTAAAAATGTGAACAGTTCCTACCCCTAGTATACAGCAAGCTACTGGAAGTGAAATGTTTGGAGCCTACAGAGGATTATTATTTGCTTTCTGGATTTTTCAAAACCAAAATTCCTTTACCTCCATTTTAGAGATAATTAAAATAGATATTTGCAATTTAGGGACAAATGAACACTTTGGAGCTATCTTGGGTACAATCATATAATTGCCTTGGTGAGTTTTTAACTACCCAGGATTTTATATGGATTCTTAATTTTTAACAAGTAGATCTATGCTTATCCTGTACATCATCTGCTTTCTAGCAGCAATTTCCTGTACTGTGTACATTTTCAAGAGTTGTGACTCCCCAAAGTCATGTGTCTCGGATACCTCACATTAGTTCCAAAACGGTTAGAGGGGAATGGAGAATTCTGGGTTATAAGGACTCTAAAATACCCAAGTCATATATGCAGAGAAGCCCTTGTATACCATTAAACAATTTCTGACTTATAGCAACCCTAAGACAAATCTGTCACAAGTTTCTCTTGACAGCATTTGCTCTCGCCTTCCTCTGAGGCTGAGAGAGTGCCTTGCCCAAGGTCACTCAATAACTTACCATGACCAAGCAAAGATAGACATTCTAATATCGCAGTCTCAGACATTTCTCCAACACTGGCTCTAGAGACAGTACCTATGCATCTGATAAAGCCCTACAAACATGCATACATAAATGTGGAATATAAGCCCCTGGTCCCTCCTACTCATAAGACCACAAATGCAACCCTTCAATCTGCTGCCTGGGATCTTCCCCCATTCCCAGGGTAGCAGAATTATTCTAATTTACCTAAAACCTATAGTTGCCTGGCTGGGTGGGCATGCCAGCAAAAAAAGTAGAGACTGGGGAAGTGAAAGTAAGATGGGTAAACAAAACATGCTCTGCTTTGCCTGGTAAAAAGGATTTTTTAAAGTGGCAATGCTAGATGCCCACTTGTGGTACCAACAGATGCTACATTATTGAACGCAGGTATGGGGCAGATGTCCCAGAAAGTTTAATGTCTACTGAGGTAATAAACCTTCATAATGGTTTCGCACAAATCTGTTTGGCAGAAACTATTTGCAAAAGAACCATTTATTTTACACATTACTCATTTATGTTTTGTTCTCTGAGCCAAGGCATGCAAATTGGCAGGACCACCCCAAACAGTTCCAAAAATCTCTTTTTCTGTCCTTAAGGCAGCTTCTAACTGTAGCTCCCTTCCTGCTGAAATGACTTTCTTCACAGCCCGAATTACTTCTGGCGGACCCTTGGTATACAGATTGAGCCAGGTGTGTGCTTCTTGTAAAGTTCTGGGTTCCTCTGATGAGGGCAGCACGGCTTCTATCAGGCCAAGGCGAAGGGCCATCTCGGCATCCACTTTCTCAGCCCCACTAAGCAACCGGAGGGCAGGGCTGCTGCCAAGGATTTGGACGAGCCTGGCAGCTCCCCCCCAGCCTGGCACTAAGCCCATGTGCTTGTGGACAAATCTCATTTCGCTCTCCGGGGTCATTAACCTGTCAGTGAGAAATAAGTATTCTGTTGTTAATTTATACTGAAGCTTAGCAGTCAGGCCTTCTCAGTCCTCTGCTTCATTTCTATGCAAAGCACAATTCTGGGCCGCAAGACTTGCAGACAGTACGCATTTTCTAATGTCAGGCAGGCTAATCAAGCACACCCAGGAAGTGATTTTCAGTTTATTTTGTCCAAAACAAACAAATGGATTGTGTAAAAATAATCCAAAATCCCTTAATACAGTGTGTTCAAACATTCATATTTAGGTATAACATTGGAATTCCAATTCAGAAATTGGGTCAATTCAGTGGACATAATATTGGGCAAGAGAAAATATTTTTCAACAGCATCAGCTTGGATTTTATTCAGATAAAGAAACAACGTATGTGTTCAGGCTATAATATGTGTATTAAGTCTGGTATTAGCATGGGACCTCCATAACTGGCAGAGCTAGGACCCATCCAAATACAGGTGCATAACTTACCTATACTGAGTATAACTTGCAATCATCATGCCATTAGCTGACCCTCCACTGATATCTCAGTCAAAGAGATGCATTGAGAACAGGCAGCTGGAAGGTACTTCTCAATGTGACCAAGAGAGAACTTCAAAAATCTCAAAAGGTAAGTTTTTGAGGGTCACATTCAGGCATTAGCAACCTAAACATGAATTCCAATCTTGTAACTTCTGAACAGGATGCCAGCCATTGTTCTCTTTTGTTTTCTTGAGCTCTTATAACCATTAGGTTAAGGCACAGAACATCGATTTCAGTTTATCTACTTAAAGTATGATTGCATCAATATTCTATCTACTGCCCAGGATTATAAACCAATGACATTTCAAGAGCTTTCTGTAACAATGGCTATGCTGTTTGGGCAGTGTACACTGCCAGAATGTAAAGACTTATTTGTGGGGAAAGAGAGTTCTGCAGATATTTTGCAGCTGATTATGGAGAAGTTTTAATAAGGGAAGATTTGGAACCCAGAAGGGGAACATGCAGAAAAGTACATTTTGTAGAATGAAAATACATTGCTGTAAAATAATGGGTATGATAAAATACATGATGTAACACAAAGAGCTGAAGGTTATTGAGTTTTTTTGGCTCAAGTCTGCTTGAAACTGGTCCAGATAGTGATTAGAGCACTGAAAAGAGAGCCAATTTTTCATGTGCTTTGTGTGAAAAGAGAAAGTCAGAGACAGTTTTGTAATTTAGACAAGATCAAGAGAATGGCATTTTAGAGAACAAATCAGACAGCTTGCAGTATTTGGACATGGAACAATGGCACAGAAAATACAGATTTGGCCAAGAGCAGAATTGGGGATTTAATTCGATATTACAGCAGTGTAGCAGGGAATGCTTAATTGCCAGTAAAGGGAGGATCTTGCATTTTGTTGCATCTCATGAAAATACTCCCATTCTTTATTGTACTGAAGAAAGCACAGGGACCACAGTACTCTGCACATTCCTAAATGTAATACTGTACTGGAGGATAAAACTAAAGGATGCTAATGATATCTCTATCTTTTTTGGGCAAAGGCCGATGACTTGAATAGGTATCCCACAGTAAGTCGTTTGCCAACAGCTACTGGTCTGCAGTTACATCTCTTCCAACATCTTTAAATCTTCCTTATCTTGTATTGTGTTTGCAGAGGTAAACCCTTGCCAAAAAGTGCTTTACGGAGGATAGAGGAAAAAAGCAGCATAGATAAGGAAAGAAATGCAGGGTTGTGGAAAAGTGACAAAGACAGATGGAGTGTGAAGAGAGAAGTAGACAGAAAAGTATGTTTATTGGAAATTGTAAGGATATCGTTATGAAGGAGGAAGAAAGTATATGATTGTGGTGGGGATCATTCACAGACAATGTGGAGATTAGGAGATGCTGCCATAGGTGTAGGGTGGTGAGTATACAACGTATGACAAGCAAAACTTCTCACTTCTTAGCGGCAACTGAGCTATTAAAATGTGTGCAAACATTTTTTTTCCCAAAACAACTGAATTGCCAAAGCTACCAGAAATTAGTTTAACTTGTCTAACAAGCAGGATGTTCTACAGTTATGGAGCTACCCCTGCATAGGTACTGTCCATACATAGACATCTACTGAGTAAGCAGAATAATGAGCAGAGCCTCTCTCTTAGGTTAGGCTGAGTGTAATCAAAGACATTTTATAACATCCTGAAAAGGGAGTGCTTTAAAAGAAATTAGGATAAACCTGCCTTCCACAAACTGATTTCCAGCACTGAGGTTTCTGCATCAAACTATTTTTAGATATCCAGATTTTTATGGAATACTGTTCTTCATAGACAGGTATTTCTTTAACAAATAGAAAAAAATGCAAGTAATTAAACAATTCAAAGCATATTGCTTGCTGCTGCTGCTGGTCTAGAGATTTCACTTGCATTGTTTACAGCATGGTAGAACTTGACCTGTATGCAGTTAAGATACACATAATAAATTGCATCCAAACATACCTTTCCACAAATGGAAAGAACTTTACAGTACAGATTCCCTTTGTTGGAAAAAGGAAAGGGAAAGAGACCTTTCCCATGTATCCTTCCTGCAGCCTTCTGCACCATCTCTCACATTTGCTGCTGATCCTTCAGAGCTGCTTTTCAGTGTGCACAGATAAAATATCCTCTCTCCACCAAGAGAATCTTATGGGTGCAGTTCAGTTTACAGGTGGCTCAAAAAAGATAGCCGTGCAAAGAAGATTCCCCACTTTCCGTGATACTATTTGAATATGTGTTAAATTATCTAATCAAAAGATGTGATTGTGGAAGTTAGTTTCTTCAGGACTGAAGTTGGGTCATGGGCACACCATGAACTTAATAAGAAAGTACAAGCAATCCCCAAGTTACAAACATCAGACTTACAAACAACTCATAGTTAGGAATGGGGGTGCAACAACAGGAAGTGAGAGAAATCTACCCCCAGGAAGGGAAAGTCAGTCCTGTAAGAATTACGTGGGGAAAAGATTTCTCAGCTGAAGCTTTATCAACCAATCCTTGTTTCCACAACAAGCCAATTTTTTCAAAATCTGATTATCACAGATTTTGTTTTGCACAGACAGCAAAACAAACATCACAGGGATGTTAACTCTCCCCCCCCCCATGCTATCCAAAGCGAAACTATATGTGTATTTGACTGGAGTTAAGCTTTAAAAATGTACCTGTTCCGACTTCTATACAAATTTAACTTAAGAACAAACCTGCAGAGCCTATCATGTTCGTAACTTGTGGACTGGCTATAATGTGATCTGTATTTTGAACACTTTACTCTTGCATCTTGAAAATGTTCCAAAATGACACACAGATCTCTGTTGGGCAACACAGATTCAAGGTAAGGCGTAGAACTGACCACTAGAAGACTCAAAAGAAGAGAGACCAAAACCACCCACTAGCCTCCACATATTGGGGGATAAGCTTTGTTTTCCATCCTGTTCTCTGGCTTCAGAGATATCAATGGTTTGCACAAACACACTGTGTCAAGCTTGAAGCAGTATCTGTCAGCTTGCATTTTTCAAAAACTCATGAATATGCAAATACTCTGCATGAAATTTAGGCCAAAGAAAGACCACTAAATAAAGGCAAATACATTTAAAAAAATAAAAACATTTTTTCCATCTAAGTCCTGCTTTTGACTGAAGAAATAAACAGATTAATAACACTACTTTAAGATAAACATTGTGTTTTCTTTATTGTTATATGGTTAAAATCAAAATAGGCTGAAAGGGCAATGATTTGAAAAGGCTGCTTTGGTTCTCATAGGTGAACAAAAAAATAGAATCATCTTGTCTGCCACAGCTATGTTGTTTATTAATGGGAGAGCAAGGAAGGTGTGGTTGAGTGGGAAGAGAAGAGGGGCAGTGTTATGAAACCATATGCTTGTGCCACATGTCCTAAATTCCACTCACATTCCTTAACACTCTCTTTTCCATCCCTTACCCTTCTCTCTTACATCCAAGTTTATTCTGCACACCTACAGTTCTGTGGTCCAAATAAAGAAGAATTAATTTCTAGTTCAATGTGGCAATACAAATTGCCTGCTACATTTTCAAGCTCAATGAAGTCTTGGATATGGAAAATCCTAGATACTAAAATTACCTCAGCTGCCCCCAATGTCTTCTCTTTTTGTGAAGTCTCAACAGAAAGGGCACATCTAGAATTCACAAATACTATCGCTGTAATGGCTTACATTGTGGCTCTTGTTTTTATTTTGTACCCCCCCCCCCATTCTTAGCCCCCTCCCCCCCTCAATTCACTGGTATCGTACTAGCCATTTCAATGCTATTTTAGGGTCAATACTTTCCTGAGTGCTTTGTTTAAGTTAAGCTGCCACAAAAGATGTGTCAGGTTATGCTGCACTCGGCTTGGCCACTGTTTCCCAGAATTAATATTGACTACTTTCCTCTCATTGCTGGAAAATTCAAACACCCTTCAGTTGCTATTCTGGTCAGGCCTCTAAGCCTTGCTCAGCAAGCCTAGACTGAACAGTACTCAAAACCATTGGTATGTTGAGAAGCACTACTATAGTTGGCATGGAGACACTTGCATATAGATGAGATATACAGATAACAGAAGCAAGTTTCCTAAGGGAGTAATGGCCTTGGACAGCTATGTTAGTAAATGCCCCACAAATCCCACTCTTCCATTTCCAAGAATCTATGAAAGGATGGAGCCAGCTCTGCTAGCGCTAGCACTGTTTCATAGACATGGCTTCTTTCTTCTAAAATACTGAAGTACTGAGATGGAACCACTGGGACTATGCTGTATCAAAGTCATATTCCTTTGTACTGCAGTTGCTGGAGAGCACAATAGGATCACATAGGCATTTGTTTAACCATTGTGACCTGAATGTGTAGTTCATCTTTGGTTTGATCCAACATAACTTAGTTATGTTCTTGAAGAGAAAATCATTCTATTAAAACAAACATAACAACGAGACATACTCTACAATGGCCCTATTCTTGCCATTGCAATGTTGCTGCTAGTAATGCTGAGTGCTCTTTATCCCAATTGAAGTCGAAGCCAAATCTTCAGCTAGAAGAATAAAACATGTGATATCAAAGTAAAGCTTCTCACCTCAGGCATGTTCCTAATGATAAGTGTTTCGTGACTGTAATTATACAGCAATATCCAAACTGCATAACCAACGTATACTATTTTACAATTTTTTTTGAACAACTGAAGAGCCATTTCTGCACTGGGCTCTTCTGATTTCACCTTGTTTCGAGCCAAATATCTTAATTAGGGCTGTCTGCCAAAATTTATATTATGTCTACTATCTAATTACACAGATTTTAAAATACAAAGACCTGACATTTACAGCTTGTAGTCTGAGCTTTGGTTGCTGGGATATGAGCCAAGCACTTCCCATTCAAATGAGGCTATGCAGGTGGGGAAACAGTAGCCTAAGACAAATATCACCATAAAGAGGCACCATATTAATGAACTCTAACAAAATGCACAGAAAGGACTGGCATGAACATCTTCATTTATATTCCCAAAATATCAGCAAACAAAAAAAATATAATGAGATACACAAAAACCTGAATATCGGTAAAGATAATAAATGATGGTACTACATGCTCCAAAATATATCCATGTGATATTTCATGAAACAATACATTTGGTTTTGGGAATATTATCCAACATAGTCTATATATCCACAAAACTTTCAGTTGATAGTGAAAATTCATTAGGAAGACACTGATTCTCCATGCAGCTTTCCTCTTAAATCAGCAAAACATTGTATACACTAAATCTAATTGTTAGTTCCAATTATAGTAAACCCGTTAAAATAAATGAAACATACATAAGTTCTGATTGATTTAATAGCAGATTCCTGATTCTAAGTTGGGATTAACCAGTAGATTAAAGATATAAACTCCTATCACCCTTAAAATCAAGTCAGGTGTTTAAATACTTTCCATGTACTAGCATCAAATGCCAAAGTATTTCTCAGAGATTCCACCATAGCTCTGAAACTCTGGGAAAGCCTCAATACATTTATGGAGATTATAGAGGTTTATCGCTGGCTTTCAGCAGTGCACATTCAAATGGGGACCAGGGATTTGAGTACTGTTTTTTTAAAAATTACATTTATTACATTTTTTGACATGGATGTTTTGGGCCTATGTTATCTGCTGAAGCACATAGGATAAGTAGCTTTAGGTCTGAACATGAGAGCATGTTTCTAACACAAAAGGAGATTCATAGACGAAACGTGATGCATCAATTCCACTACAGCAGAAATTAGGAAAATTTCAGCCTGGAAACTCATTAGGTAGAATACTGGGGACCACATCCCAGATGTTGTGGATTATCTGTCTTGATATTCTGGGTTATATGGCTGTATGGAAGGGCCTCTAGATGCTATGTTCAATAAATAAGGAAATCTGAGTTTATTATTTCAATTATAGATTCTAAGATCAGTACATCTCACTCCTAATACTAGATATGAAATACAGTGTGTTCTTGGTATCTGCTGGGGTTTGGTTCTGGACTCCCCATGGATATGCAAGTCCCATTATATACAATGGAATAGTAAAATGGTGTCTCTTATATATAATGGCAAAGTAAAGATTTGCTTTTTAGATGTTTTTAAACAAATTCAAGCCATCAGTGGTGGACTCCATGGACACCGAAGGCTGACTGTACGTAGGTCAGCATGCAGAGAACAGAGTATTACTACTGCCTGTAAACAGGAGCTAGCAGCAGTAAATAACTGGGGCAGTCTGCAGAGAAATGACGACCAACATCTTGTGGGGACACTCGCAACACCACAGACAGGTATCATCCTGTGAATGATGGCACACATCTATTGACAGTTTTTGGCAGAGCATGTCCAACAGTAGGACAAGAAACGTGATGCGATGTACGTTTGGCACGTTTCCCCCAACTCAGAAAGCTGAAAGTCAATTGTGAGATTTGAAACAGATTTCCTATTTGTCCCTAGTAGACAGACTCAGGGGAGTAAGAAGACCTGTTCCTATCTGTGTAGCTAGAAGATATCTGTATCTTGACTAGAAGCATGCTCTAAGAGAGAATTGAGGCCTATATATCAGGTTTTTAAAAGAGATCTAGTTTCCGATACTCAGGCAATGATTCACAATGACTCATTCAAATTTAAAGGAAAAGACAAAGATACTACTCTCACAAATGCAGATTTATAACTAATGGAAACAGCAATTTATCTTCTTCAAAAAATTAGGAAGACTGATCTCACTCTTTTGCAAAATAGGAGGAAAAACTCAAGGGGCACAGGTTGCATATCAAGATCAGAGTCATTGCCGAATTCAATCACAAGCAGGATTTCCTGGTTTCTTTAGTCAGAACTTATCATTTGTTTTAATTATTTTATTATAATTTATTTAAAATGTTAATTGCTTGTTGTAACGGATTGGCCTACCCTGAAGGTGTGTAAAGGGTTGGTGTGAAAGGCAGAAGCCAAGCCCAGCTTACTGAAACTAAGCAGAGCTCATGGGTGGAGAAGAAGTCAGGCCAAGCTTGCTGAAGCTAAGCAGAGCTCAGAGGTGGAGCAATCAGGCTGTCTCTAAGGCAGAAGTGCAGTCTGATTGGCTGATAGGAAAAACTCAGTAGCTGGAGATGGGTGGAGCCAGAGGCAAAGAGAAGAAAGAAAGCAGCTATTTTAATGCAGTTTGGAGATTTGGATGGAAGAAGAAGGAGTTAGGGTTTTATTGAAGAAGGAGCTAGGAGTCTGAAGAGAAGGAAGGGCAGAAGGAAGGATTTGGGGAACTGTTTTGGGTTTTAAGAAAGAAACCTCTTTGAGGAATAATAGTTATTAGGCCTCTATAGTGTTTAGAGTGCTGTGAAGGAAAGAAGGAAGGACGGGATATTTTAAAAGGTTTTAAAAGATTCCTGTTTGTATTTCTGTGTGGGGAACTTTGTTTAAAGAAATTCAAGAATATAAGTACCAACCTCTGTACTGAATAAAAGCCTGACAAGTGCTGCAACCATTAAGCTTATTGGCTGTTCAAAATAAACATTTTCCTGTTTTATTCCAACTGAAGTCTTTGTGTGGCTTTATGAGCATCCCAGTAAAGGAGACCCACTGCCACTCTTCCTCAGGGTGAAATCCCAAATGAAAATAGGGTCTGCATAGGGTCTGTGTCTATTCAATGATGCATTTAATCTCACCTGAAGTCACATGCAGTGGTCAGTTCTGCTCCTCCTCCAAGAGCTTTCCCTTGAATCAATGCAACTGTAATTAAAGGTAACCTATCCCAAGGAAGAAATCAAGAGGACAAATATTTTTTGAAATTGCAAACATAAAGGCAATCAGCAGAGATAAATAGTAAGAAGGTTTTTTTATTTGCAAATCAGGGTCAATATTTACTTTGCAAAAACTAAATACCACACTACTAAATACATATACATTGAAGAACTTGTGTCAGCAAGAAGTTCAATACTGTCACACAAGAGATTGAATTATTTTAGGCTTATTTAGCATGGCATAATAGTTTGAGAATTGAACTATAACTTTTGAAAACAGGGTTTGATTCCCTGTTCAGCCATGAAAATCCACTGGGTGACCTTGGACAAGTCACACACTCAGCCCTAATAAACCCCATGATATGGTCAACATACATTGGAAATACATACAACAACGTGGATTATGGCATCTTTGTTTTTAAAACTACCTCTGTCCCTTTTAAACTGGGAATTATTCACCCTATTTATGCCCAAAACTGTTAAAGAATCACTGTAACCAAGTAAACAGTGTAGAATCCAGAAGACATCTTTGAAGTTGAAGTGCAATACTACCACTGAAATTTCACTTGCCTTTCCCTTCTCACAAAGTTCAGAAAACATGATCTTTATTTTCATAAGTTATGAGAAAGTCCCATTAATTATGTCAACCTTCAAGGATGGTATGAGCTGCATTTGCAGTAAGCAATATCCATGAAGTCCCTGAGTTAAAAAAATCTCTGAAAATGTCATTCAAGGTGCAAAGTGAATATGGCTGGGAATATTTAACAGCCCTAAGACCAAATGCTGTACTAATTTCACAGTCTGGCGATCTAACTTTCACACTTTCTGCCAATCTGAGTCCCTGGGGGTTAAAAATGGTTACAAGAAAGATGCAGAGCAAGCATTGTAGAATGTGTATAACTGTTGTATCTCAGGCTAAGATTCACCTTGCTCTCTCTGACAAACCAGCCAAACTTGTGAAGAAAGAAGTTTATTGTGAGGTTTTTCAAACAAATCAGAGTATAAGCAGTAAAAAGTTCAGTAGTACAAGATAAAAGTCCAATATATTCCCTTTGAGTCAAAGCAGGAGACTTGAAGCAAAAAAGCAGAGTAAAATCCAGGAAATGGCATGAGGTTACATGAAGCAGGCTTTCCCCAAGGCCCAAGCCCCAGAGCCGGAGACAAAGCGAGCCATTTTTGCAACGTTGGAACTGACGCCGAATCAGCTCCCAGGCAGTTTACTTATAGGTAAAACATCAAAACATTGAACATTAAACAGACAGCTAACAAGCAGTTTTCCCACCAATGGATGGGCTCAAGACTTGGCCGCAATTCGTAAACTCCTTCTCAACACCTGCGGAACAGCCTGACCTTCACCAGCTGTCTTATCAGCCACATTCCGTTCCTGTGAGAAAAGTGGTTTCTCTCTAGCTACAGACTGTGACTGAGAAAACTGAGAAAACTGAAATCCCAACCTGCATCTGTATTCCCATTCCCATCATGCTCATCTGCACTCTCAGTCCCATCATGCTGTTGCTGCTGAACCACAACAATAACAATAGGCATAAGCTTTGTTTTCCAGGACAAAAATAGTTCCTTAGAAGAGGCCTAAGGTTTGGCTTCTTCTGTATATTAAACTGATGGGGGGAAAAAAACCCTCCATTTATAAGAAACTATGGAACTGATCAACAAACATGTTAGTAACACCCATTCACACCTGCATGTGCTCACTTTTACAGTTTTACAATTCGGGGAACCAATACATGAACATTTTAGGATAACAATTTAAGCCTGACAATAGCACTTTTTTTGGGGAAAATTGTAAAGTTTACTCAATATCCAAATATGCACAAATGCCTCACAATATTCATTTTGGCAAGCTGGTGAACTATGAATTAAATGACAAAAGGGATGCTGTGGGCATAGTTTTGTTCAACATCTTTATAAATAACCATTATAAACCGTTTGCACAAAGAATTAGAAAAAAATGTTCCTAAGCCAACTGGGTTGCTAAAAGCCAAACATGATTCAAGACAAGCTTGTCAGGATGAAGAAAAAGACCTAACAAAACGGATTTTAAGAAAAGTTCTGCATTTATAGCAGATAAATAATATACAAATAAATCCAGGCCTAGTAATACCTGGCTTGACAGCGATATGTGTAAAAAGGAGCTAAAGAAGTTAGAAGACCACAAATTTAACATGAGCTGGCAGTGGAAAATGGCAGCTAAAATGTGAATATGATTCTAGGTTGCCTTAATGGAATTATAGAGTCCAAATCATAATAGGTAAAAGGCAAGAATATCAAACTATATTTTGTTAGGATGAAGATCCAAAGGGAACATTAACCAATGAGGAAAAGTTGGAGGTGTTGGGCATGTCTTTCCTCAGAAAGTTAGGGGCTTTAATATTTTTAAGTAAAGATGGTTACGGATGCTATAACAGTGGACTTTCTGTACTGACCTGGGGTTGGACTAGGTAATCTCTGAGAGGTTGAGCATCCCTTATTTTGAATTCCAAAATCTGAAATAGTCCAAATCCAAAATTGCCCACATGGATAGCTGAGATAATGACAAAATGGCTTGCTGGTGCTTCAGTGTACACAAACTTTGCATCACATCACAAAATGATTTAAAGTATTGTATATAATTACTTTCAGGTATGTGTGTAAAATCTATGAAACATAAATGAATTTTGAATTTATACTTAGGTCCTTTCTCCAAGATATCTCATTATGTATGTATGTGCAAACACAGATATTCCAAAATCTAAAAGTATAAAAAAAACCCTCTGGGTCCCAAGCATTTTAGAGTACCTTTTTCTAGTTCACCTCAGTCTGCCATTCTATTTCTCATTATTTTTGAAGAGTGATTCTTTATACATCTGACCAAATACTTGCAAGCAATAAATCTACAGTCTGTTAGAGAAATGACTCAAATAATTTGGAATGTGATTAAATGTGAGGTATAGAAAATATCTCATCTCCAACTCCTCAGGTCAGTTATGTCAACATTGAACTGAAGGTTCAAAATAATCCACAAAACATATGTGCATGAGAAATATGAGTTTAAAATTATTGAGGAGGTAGTAATGAACCTGGGGAGTAGGGTGGGACGAGAACAGGTCTGGATTTTACTAACATTCTCTTTCTTTTTACATGTTTCTCCTATGTCCCTGCGTAACTTGTGGGTGATATTTCATGCCCTTTTGGAAAGATTACTGACCCACTATATCTTTCAAAAACATCTTCAAACCTTTTACTTTCTAGCATTTTATTCCTCTCAAGGGTTCTGCAAAAATCTGTAACTCAAGCATTCTAGTTGCTAGATGTGTCTGTAAGTGGAACCAACTGTCCTGTTTACAAAAGTTTTCAGCCTTACAAATAGCACTAAACATTCAATGCCATTTTTGAAAATGCTGATTGTACATCAATCTGAGTGTCTTCACATTTTAGAAATACTGTAAAACAGAAATGTAAAGCCGGAACCTACCTCATGAGCCTGGTTAAGATGTTCTGCATGAACATACACATATTCATTCCATCCTACAAATTAGAAAATCATCATAAATTATACTGAAACGCTGAAAGGGAATATGCCTTTCAGAAAGCCAAAGGACAGTAACCATGGGTTTTCTGCAAAATCTAAGGGGAAACACACTTCTTAAATTGTGACACAATGTAGATACACCTCTCTGTTTTCCTACAAACTGACTTTGAATTTGTTTGAATGTTGTAGGAGGACAGCACAGTTATCGTATATACCCTTGATGAAAGAATGGTAGTCCTTCAATCTGGGATGGTTGTCCTCTTGCACAGAGCAGACAGCTTTGGAAGGAACACACATGGAGCAGTGAGGGAATAAGGGGACACCTGCTTAGCCAGCCAGAACAGCCAAGTTAACACTAGCAATCAATGGGGTCACAGATCACCCTCCTATCCAACACACATATATGCATATTTCTAGAGAAAAATCCAATGGACAGGCTTCACCGATACAACATTTTACAAATATTTACATGTCTGGGCTATTGATTTTTAAATATATAAATTGAATAATTTCTACATATATTGCCTCTCTTTTCCCCCAGAACATATTCTAGATCATTGTTAAATTTTTTTGTTTAAATGCTTGCTTAAACATTGTCATCATCACCACCTCCTCCTGATTATTACATTCTTGGAGAGAATCTGGATCACTGATAGCCTAAAACAGCAGTCAGTGACACCTAGTAAGATTATGAAACTGAGCAGCAAAAGGAAAATGGGTTTTTACTGAATTTTTTTTATTCTATCAAAACTTATCCTTGGTACAATCCAAATGTCACGTATAAATAAAATTAATCAGTATCAAATATAAGGACAACATTCAGGGAGCCAGAGAACAAAGCGGTTTCCTCATACTAACATTCTCATTATTTCATTTTTTTTAAAAAAAAATCCAGCTAAAGAGCTGACAAAGAAACCAGAACAGAGAGCTGAACAGCCACTGAACACAAAGCTGTGTGTGTTAATTGAGGAGAAGGAAAAAGAAATAACAAGAATTATTCACAGTGGAAATGTTCAATACAAAGCTACGCTAATGATTCTAGAACGTCTCTACTTTTGCACAGCCAATGTGAACTCTCAAATGGTAACCAGAAATACAAGTTGTGAAGTGTAGACCCTTATAAACATATTAATTAATATCATGGAAGGTATAATCTGAAGATACCTAAACACAACTCCAATGTCATTAATTTCTTTGTAATGCATAAAACTGAATAATAACTCTTTTCTCAGTACATCTATATACTTCAACATCCAGATTCCACAATGGCTAACCAAATGCCTATAAGAAGCACATAAGATAAGACGAGAGTACAATAGGACTTTCATGGTTAGATTTGGTATTCAAAGGCATACCTTCTCTGAAGGTGGGAGTCAATCAGCCTTCTTGAACACTAGCTATTCAAGTCTTGAGAGTTAGCATGATGTAGTGGTTAGAACATTTAGCTACAACTATAAAGATCATAGCTCAAATCCTGACTTGGCCTTGAAAACCCACTTGGTAATCTTGGACAAGCTACATTCTCCCGGTCTCAGAAAAAGGCAAAAGCAAAGCCCCTATGAACAAATCTTTCCAAGAAAACCCCATGAAAGATTCACCTTAGGATTTCCACAAGGCAGAAATGACTTGAGGGTACACAACAATTAAACCCTTGATCTCAATACAAAGATCTAGTAGAAGTCTATATATGAAAGTGGCTGTTATTAAAATTGTTGGGTTTTTTTAGTGGCTTGGGTTTTGTTTTTAAGATACAAAACTTCTCAGAAAACTCTATGTGGCAATTAACATGCTGAAACAAGCAAACAAAAACAAATCTGTTAATCAGGAATTGAGAACATAAAATGACACAAATGAGTGGCTCCCTACAACATACACACTGATCTCCTTCTCACACAAAAGTTCACTTTGAAAGATTCCCAACAGGCCACACACCTCTTGCTAAGATGAAGCCATGTTGGCGAAGTTGTAATATCAAATCAAGCAACAATTCACTTTAAGAAAAATAGCAGTTTTGGATTACAGCTTCTCATTTGCAGTTCCCTCACCAGAGAAGAGAATTCCCTAAATCCACAATCTTATGAGCACTGTTAAATATTATTGCATTGACTATAACCTTATTGTGTAATACTGTTCTAATAGACATGTGATCACACACCTACTGAAGGGTTAAGTGGGTGGTGATGTGAAACTGAAGGGACAGATAAAAGAAGCTGAGTCATCACCATGTGACAGGTATGACGAGGGTTACATTATTTACTTTTGTCCCTGGTTGATGATGAGAAGCAATGAGTGTAAAAGAGGACAGCAAGCATGTGTTCTTTCTCTTGCCATGATTCTCTTGCTTCTCACTGTACATCTGTTGCTGATATCTGTTGTGAGTATATTTCTGCATATGCCACTGACTGATGGGACATCAGGGAATCCTGATGTGTGTTTACAGCTCTACATAAACCAACGTGTCAAGATTAAAAGCCTCCACCGGAGAATGAGTATACAGTGCATTGCTTCTCTTGGGAATCACAGAATTCCTCCAGTACAATTATCAGAAATATACAGGAGTTTTCTTGCTGGATATTATAAAAAAATCCCCAAGGGAACATCAACCTCATTCACAATATGCTCACTATCCTCCCAATATCATAATTGTGTGGAAAAAGACATATCAAACCATGGTTACTAAACCATAGGAAGATTCTGGGGTGATTTGGAAGCAAAATTTGCCCCCCTAAAGCCTCAAATTAAAATGAAAATGGGGTGGAATTTGTGGGCTTTGAGGGTCATCTGCCAGGTCACAAAAGCCACACTTTGGCATCCCAAGGGCTGGATGCGGCCTGCGGGCCATATATTGCCTATTCGTGCATTACAGTATTAATCTGGTTATCCAGAATCCAAGGCTTTTAAAAATATATATTGTTTATTTTGTTGTTTGTTTTTAGCAAAGATTGTGAGTCTGTAGTTGCACAGAGGTCTCCTCAGTAAGATATGAATTTGGTTGGGAAAACTAGCAAACACACATTGCTGATAAGGATAATAGCCAGTTCAACACTAGGGATTTATTCAGTAATCTGCAACCTTTAATGTAAATTTATACCATTATCTATACATGGCTGCTCTCATTAAACTCATTCTACTCAATGGGGCTTATTCCCAGGTAAGTATGTATAAGACAATCATCTGCATAGCTTCCATTCAAACTCTGTTTTCTTTCCTGTACTTGTACTGAATTGCATAGAAAGAAAAATGATATTCTTTAGCAATATGGGAAGCCTATCATGCTTATCATTCTATCTGTAAAAAGTCTCATTCCTCTGAATGGTTCTGAAAGGGAAAAAAAGTTTAAAATTAAAAAATGTTGAAAGAAGGTGATGTAACTTTAGAAATCTAGGCAATAAATCAAATGTACACTTGTAATTTGTCACTCGTCTTTGGAACACTGATAGCGTGTTCAGCACCCAGCCTCAGAACAGAATAATTTCAACTTTTTATTATTACTTTTCTGCAGCACTGATGTTTTTGGAATGTCTTCCTTTGAGCCATAAATGTTTCAGAACTTTAAAGAGTGCATGGAAAATCGATTCCAGCTACCACTTGCCTGTGGTCTGGACAGTGTCCTGACAGCGTTCAGATCAGATCCTGAGCAAAATGTATTTTCTGCACCATGGACGATAAGCCCTTTCCCATTCTTCCAGTTTTCCAATTCAGCAACTCTCTCCTGTAGTTCTATCATCATCGTTCCTGCCATTAAAGAGAAAGAACAGCCAAGGGATATCTTTAGTGTGGAGTTTTATATTAAGCTTCAGACAACAGAAGAGGCGGCTATGCTACTGACATCAACCCACTTAAAAAAACCAAATCACTGTATTTCACCAAATCTATGGTGCCATCAAATGTATCCCATTTTTGAAATGTCAATTTTAGGGGGGGGGGGGGACCCAATTTTATTAGAATATTTTTAGTACTTCCTCTGCATATGAACTTTTTGTTTATTTTAATGTGTCTTTGCAGAGCAATCTTTGCTGTAGGGAGAGGAAGGAGTGTGAAGAAACTCAGAACTATCTTGTCTGTATGTGTGTATTTTACTAAGTCTATGGGCCTGTTAAGGAGGCAGCAGAAGCAGGAAGCAGTGCTTAGTTCAGCCAGGAACAGGTGATGTCTTTCACCTTCGCACTAACAGATGACATTTTTCAGCTGCTGGCTCTGAAAAGCAGATGGTTCTGAGAGAATGAAAAATAACAATGGTGCATCAATGATCTAATTAAGACACCGATCATGTAAGAAGATGAATTCCCATAAAGTTGGCCTTTCCTTATCTGTTTCTCCTCCACAAGTATTTTTGTGGGGGGAAGGAAGAAGAACAGACCTCAGCAACCCTGCAGGAATGTGGCTAGAATAGTTTGATGCACAGAAAGGAGAAAAAAAAATGGCAGCAGGACATCAATTCCTTACCTCATCTATAAAACAGGGAAAACTTTCTCTATAAACCTCAAGGTTGTCTGACATTAATAGCTGCACTTATGGCATATCATTATTTATGACTTTCTACTATTTACTACTTATCGCTGTCCAAAATTTAAAGTGGGGAATACTGTGATGTGTTGCCTTCATTTTTTGATTCAGTGATCATAAGTCATGGCTTGGTTACCTTGCATGTGGATTATCCTAATAATACTGGATATTTTGAATACTGAACAATAGTTTATTTCATGATGTAAAACAATGAACCATTCTGCCAAAACACTGAGGTGATGGAAACAACCATGGATTGCATCCAATAAATTTTCCTGACTATAAAATGGCTTCTATCAATAGAATAGGAAAAGGGACAGTTCCTGTTCCCCCAGACTAACATTGCCTCAATGCCCTTTTCTTCAGCCTTGGAGATATATGCCTGTGTGGTTTCTGCTACTGTCTATCACCTAGTCATTTCCAGTGCTAGTTTCAGCAAATTCCGTCTTAAATCCTCCACCCCTGTGATCTTTCCCTGAGTCAGTCAAGATCAGTCCCTTGAATTTCAAATACTAATAGTGAGGGCATATAGATGCATTCATGACAACTGATAGGGCCTTCCTCTGGTGGTTGAAGAAAATCATAAAATATGTCAAAAGCTGTACAAGAGATTTGTAAGTAACTGAGCACAGAGTGACAATGACTGATTTATGATTGAAGTCTACATTTATTTAAAGATTATACGTCCTTATAACTATTGTTGTGTAGCTGGAGTCTTAGAGAAAGACCAGAGTGTAAATATAATGAAAAAATCAATTAATAAATTATCATATCCTTTTGTTTCACTTACTTTTGAGAACCTTAGACTGATTGCTATGTATAAGATTAGAATCACAGAATCATACAGTTGGAACAGACCTCGTGGGCCATCCAGTCCAACCTCCTGCCAAGGAGCAAGAAAATCGCATTCAAAGCACCCCTGACAGATGGCCATCCAGTCTCTGTTTAAAAGCCTCCAAAGAAGAAGGAACCTCCAGTTACAGTCAATTTATTTTTATTGTATTTAAACTATAGAATAGCCAGAGAAACCAGAGAAAAGTGATAATATGCTTGATGAAACTGAGGTATAAATATTGAAACGTATTCCTATACCTTTGTAATTTGTGAAGCAAATAATAAAATAATAAATAAATAAATAAATAATCTTTCAAGATAACATCTTTTTAATGTGTTGTCGAAGGCTTTCATGGCCAGAATCACTGGGTTGCTGTGAGTTTTCTGGGCTGTATAGCCATGTTCCAGAAGCACTCTGTTCTGACATTTTGCCCACATCTATGGCAGGCATCCTCAGAGGCTGAGAGGTCTGCTGGTAACTAAGCAAGTGAGTGGAATGTCCAAGGTGGAAAAAAGAACTCTTGTATGCTTGAGGCAAGTGTGAATGTTTCAAATGACCACCTTGATTAGCATTTAATGGCCTTGTAGCTTCAAAACCTAGCTGTCTGTTGTCTGGGGGATTCCTTTGTTTGTTTGTTATATTTTATGCAAGGTCATATATAAAATTATACAAACATTTTTCAAAAGTGGGTAGTCACTATCTTTTCCCTTATACTAACAAAGAAATAAAGTGCCTCAGAACAAACTGCCAGATCTGACCCACAAAGAAGAAAGAACTGGGACTTATGGTTGAGACTCAGTGAACTGTTTTGACAACCTTTTCAAGGTATAAAGTATTTTTTCATTATTAAGAAGTATCTGTGAAACACAAGACTCACTTAACAACTTTATATTTAAAAGCAAATTCTTGTTACTGTTAGTGATGCTAACTAAAGTATCGTTTTTTGTCTTTGCGTATACTAAGAGGCTACAAACCCATTAAGAATGTTTAATACCTGTAAAAGCATTCATAAACCTTGGGTTGTTGAGCGTGAGTATCCCAATCCCATCATCTTTCGTTGAAAGGTCAACAGATCCACCAGTGAACTGTTGAAGTTTTGCTTTGATTTCATCCTCCTGAAAACCATGGGTCTGATTATAAAGAGCCATTGTCCTTTGCTGCATCAGCCTGCCATTTGCAATTTGATGGAAACGTTTCCATAATAATGAGACTGTCATTTCTGGAAAAGAGCACATAAGCAAAGTCAATCTGGGCCAGTGCTTCTTGCATTACATTTTTTTTAAACCGCCCTTAAGACCAAACAGCTCTGCTTTGCTCAAGTAGAGCATGGCTTTGATTCAACTTAACAGCAAAGTCACAAAAGAGTCATGCAGACCAAGGTTATAAGGAACAGACTGGAAGCTGTTGGGAAAGAGACACTGATCTTTCTGTACAACAGACGCATTATACAGTATACAGTGTTTAATCCTGTCCATGAACTTGAGGAAAACGTGAACAAGAACTCTTCTAAGAAATATATATTGGGGGAGGATTTGGGGGTTCTAGGGACTGCACTTTCAAAGATCCACCAGTGAACTGTTCGAAGCTTTCAAAGTTCACATGTTTCCACTACTGATACCACTACACTCCAATGTCCTCGCTGTGGAAGAAGATGCAGATCAAGAATAGGGATCCACAGCCACCTACAGACTCACAAGAATTCTGATCCTAGAAGACTATCCTACTCGGACAACGAGGGATTGCCTAAGTAAGTACCACTATACCAGTTGCCACTGAAATTTGGTGCAGCCATCTGACACCACAAAAAATTAGATACAAAACCGAATTACATTTTTCAAACTCTTTTGCTAAGCTAGTCATTGGATCATGATTTGGTTCAAACACCTAGAAAAGAAGAGCGATTGCATTATTTCTAACATTAACTCTGAAAAACATGGCACGAGTGAGAATGCATCATAAAAAATGCATTACTTTTTTCAAACTTAAAAAAGATGTTTTCTGATTTTCATTCTCTTTTTTCTCCCCAGAATATTAGCATTTAATTTATATGGAAGTTTTTAATTTATTGAATGCCTGACATTTGATTTGATAAACTGAGTAATATAAATACCTAATTAACATTTTTACAAAGCTTCCTTGACAGTTTAGTCTTGTTCCAATTAAACAAACAGGGACCAGGCATATTTTGAAGTTTTCACTTTAGTTTATTTATTGAACATAATTTTACCCCAATTTTTCATCCAAAAGACTCCCAGGATGAGTTACAAATATGACAAAAGCGACAGTTCCTGTTTGCCAGCTTAAAATATGATACAAGAAGAAGCAGAATTGGGAAGGAAGAATTAAATTGACAAAAATCCAAACATGACATCATTGGTTATGAAGTTCATTAAACAGTAAATCATAGAGTTGGATTTAAGCCCAATAGAAGGTATACTCGGGTGGGGAGGATTAAAGGATTTGCAGTTGATCCCTTCGTCAAGTTGGAATTGGCACAAGGAAAGGATGTATGGTTCTTGATGCTTCTCCCTCCAAGAGTACAAAAAGTTGGCAGCTGAAGGGCTCTTAGGAAAAACTGCATCACATCTACTAGACATTTTCACACATTCACAACATTTAACTTGTTCCTTTGGTGTCTGCATTGTGATCATTTGCTTCCTTAAACCAATGCTCCCTAGATGTCTTGCCGAACTCCCATGAGACCCTGACTCAAGAAAGGCAGCAGGGTGGGACGAATGAGTCAGAGACTGAGAAAGCACAGAATTCTGGGAAATGTAGTCTGGGAAGACGAGGAATCTAATAGCAGATAATTCAAAAGGTTCTGCCCTAAACTACATTTCCCAGAATTCTGCTCAGTCGCAGAAAGCTCCAATTAGGATAGGAGAGAGATTTGTCCCTCTTAGTAGTAGGCCAGAATTCCAATAAATTGTTGAATCTGCAAAGAGGAGAACTGACAGATACTTCAATACAAGTAAGTAAATCAGTGCTGAGCTGGGAAGAAATCCCTACATCAAAGTTATGTTGGTTAATATGAGAGATGAAATAGATGCTGTGGCTTTTTAAAAAATGTTTTTGTCAAAACTTTTAAAAAATTCCCAAAATCAGGAGATGTATGAATATTTCTGAAGCTTGGGGGAGTGATATTGTGTCATTGTATAGAAAATTCAAGGATATCGCTCCTTTAGGTTTTTTTGTTTTTTTAAAAAAATGTTGCCTGCAAAACATTTGAAAATTCCCAAAAACTCTGTGAATGAGTCAAAAGCTCTGAAACTTGATGGGCTAACAGTGGTAAATGTGTTCTATAAATGTACCAACAGCTCTAACAAGGAGGGAGAAAGGCACCTCTGAAGTTTCCCCATTGGCATAATTAATTAATTAACTAAAAAGTAGTTAACTTTTTGGAAACATTTTAGAAACAATTTCCCCCCACTCCCTAATTTCGTAATAAATATTGAAACATTTTTTCATTGATCGTGCAGGCCTAGTAACCATCTTTTATTATAGGAAGGAAATGATTGTTTATAGGAGTTTATACAAGTTTTAAATTTGAATCTTTATAAAAAAATGTTAGGCACCATGAATTGTTTTTGGGATCTATGACAGGATCCTGAAGGAGATGAATACATTCAGCTTGTAAAAGAGACAATTAAATAGCACTGCAATAACCATCTCGAAACAACTGGAGGGCTGCCACACAGATTAGGAGCATTTTGTTGTTGTTCCAGAGGGCAGAACCTGATTCAAGCAGTTCAAATTAAAAGATGGATTTTCACAGAACCTCCACAAATTGTTTGCATAGAAGAGAAAGCCCCAGAAGGTGATAGATCCTCCTTCACTAGAGTTATTCAGCAGAGCTAGATTCAGCCATTCATCTGGGATACTGCAGCAGAGGACCTCCTGAACTGGAAGAAGATAGACTTTGAAAGTCAACTTTGAACCTTTGGTGTATGTTTTAGGGGTTTTTTTCAGTTTTGTTTCATTTATTGTTTCCTGTTTTAAAACACTTTTATGACTGCAAACTGTGAAGATATTTTTAAAAATAACAAGAATAAAGATCAGTGCAGGAATTTCATAAATAAATGACCATCAAAACATATAAATAGGTTTTGGGGTTTGTAATACTGTATACATAAAACTCAATATACCTCCAAGTTATGTCTCCAGCATAAAGTGAACAGTTCAAAGATCTAATCTAAAGACCATTAGCCAGCACACATAGTAGTCAGCCTGAGATGATGGGAGCTAGTCTAACAATATCTAGAAGGCTGCATTTTTGCCATTGCTCTACCTCTTCCTTCCCCATCATTCCATGTATTGCTACAACAAAAGAGGAAGAACCATGCTGGGGCTGTGAGAGTTGGAGAGGAACTCTTTATTACAGAAATATCTACAAAGGTATCTACTCTTGACTGATGTATCACCACAAACTGAGTTCTTTTGTAAATGGAAACAAATGTTTTTCTGAAGATGCCAGCCACAGATGCAGGTGAAACATCAGGAGAAAATGCTGCTAGAACATAGCCATACATAGCCACACAATATCCCATTGATTCTGGCCATGAAAGCCTTCAACAATATAGAAGTTTTTATTGTCTGACCTTTACTTTCTTTGCCTCCAGTCCTCTTACTGAAGAGTTATGGCCACTGGCTAAATCAATCTATTGTCAAGACCACCTGGAACACCAGTTTCTCAAACAAGTTGCTGACTCATCGTGACTTCATCATCATCACTTTTCTTTTCCTGTATTATTTTTAACATCCATGTGTGATGAAGAAGCCAGTGAATTTTTAGCAAAAGCACAATGTATTTGAAACCTCTGATTGGCCTAAGAATATTTAGTGACTTTGGATTTTGTTGGATTTTGCTGTATTTTTATTTATCGTGTCATCAGCAACCATACCATTGTATTACATTTCTAACAGAACAGAACAAACAAACAGATTTTAAAAAACACAGATTTTGCAAACTTGGTAGCTGTATTGTCAACTTAGGAAACTCTGAATCTATTGCCCTTTTTATTGACATTCACGGTGATTACATTATAGCAAAACTATGAGTCTTATATTCTTTGTTGTACTAACAAAAACAAAATCCTGAGCCTTTCAGACAAATAAAGAGTACAAAAGGCAACAATAATTTGTTACCTCTGAATAAGAAATGTTTTGCTTAAGCTAAATAAGAAAAAGGGAATAAAGAGCGTATTCATTACCAAAATTACACCTGAGCCCTTTATTGTTTGCTTTTCCATTAGCATGTATTTCTTATGCCTAGCTTAAACTCATTTATAGCACTGTGTGTTTTACGATATTTCTTCCTCCTCCATATATATGGCAAATGATTTCCCCCCCCCCAAAATTATACAGATTTGTCATTCCTTATCCAGAATTTCAAAATATTCCAAAATCTAAAATTCTCCTCATACATTGCTCAAGTAGTGACATCTTTGCTTTCTGTTGGTTCAGTGTTCACAAACTTAGTTTCCTTCACAAAACTATTACCAATATTGTATGTAAAATAATCTTCAGGCTACATGTATGTGGTATACACGAAACCTAAATGAATGGTTCCCATCTCCAAGATAGCTCATTTTATAAGTGGTCCCAAGCATTACAAATAAGGAATATTCAACATGTACTGATATATTTTATTTGTTCCTTTGATGTTCCATAACAACTAGGTCTGCATGAGATGTCGACTTTAAACTCTCACCATGCATGGAGGGTGTCACAGGCCCACATATCAGGAAAGCATACGTAGACCATTTTTAAATGATCAACAGAAATACATTTGCATGTGTGTACACATGATGTCTTTAAGACAAGGTGTTTTACATGGGGCTGCTACATTTACAATTCTCCAGTTATTTCTCTTCTCCCGACTTTTTCTGATTAACCAAAAAAAGGAAAGCCATTAAAGAGCAAAAGCTGGAACAGGTGTGCACTGCCTCAGTTGCTACCACTTGGGAGCTTTCTAGCTAAAAACAGTCCTGAGTTTAGTGGCAAAAATATGCTTTCAAGAGACTTACAGTGCTATTCCATACAAATTTACTAAGAAATAAATTCCATTCAGTTCAATGGAGCTCAACTCTAGATAGTTTAGATAGGTACAGGATTACAGTTTCATACATTCTCATTTGATGGTGGGAAGTCTGATGTTAAAAGCAAAAAAGGAAGAATTAATAGACTATCTTCTCTCTCTCTCTCTCACACACACACACA